AGTTGAATTGCTTCCCTCATTAGTAGAAGAGAGGAGAAATCCATTAGGCCACACTGAACGATGTGATCTAAATGGAAGGAAAGGGGAGGATCACCGCAAGCAGGCTTCTGAAGGTCGTTACAAGAGGAGAGCAGCGACGACGTCTAACTGAAAAGAAAATACGAACTATCTGGTGGAACAGGTAAATTGCAGAGAATCTTATCTTCTGCACTTAAAAGATAGCTAAAATAAGTAAAAAATGCGGAAGGGTTGGCAGCTATGGAAATATTTTGAAACTTACATTGCAAAATACATGAAAAGAACCAATCTATATAATCTTATACTTTTAACTTCCAATAAAGCTGTGGTATCTTATTAAAGAACTACAAAAATGTAAAAACAAATGTAAGATTTTGAACAAAAAATAAACAAATCGTAAGTTGAATTAGGATACCTTTAAGATAAAAAATAAATAAAAGAGGACAACTTACCCATAGAATTCTTGAAGCATATAAGTCAGTGGTTCACAAACTTTCTTGTCCCATAGACCCTTTTATAGTCAATATTTGCCCACGGACACCCCAAGTGAAAAAGCTACGCAAATGCATAGTATAAAAATAACAAATAAAAATTTTTTTTGAAGAATTATTTACTTAAATAAATAGTAATAACTAGATGAACGTGATAAGATTTTGAGTGTATTTATGTCCAGCTCAATACTTGTAAGTCGCAACCGCAAAACCCCTCGAGCACTAATTTCTTGTTTGTTTCTTTTTTTGATGAGGTTCATAAGGTAATAAATCCCCGTTCTACCAAATAGAAAGACAGAAAAGCAGTCCAACAACTTCTGTACAATAACCCATAGTGCGAAATGATAGCATAATCTGTGTTTGTTATCAGAATTTATTGTATCCTTGTTCAAAAATTGGTTTAAGTTCCTCATTTGTTAATATTTTAATGAGCTGCTCCTGTATTAGTATGGATTCATATGTGTTTAGGAACGGAATTTGTTCACGCGTAAAAGGGTTCAACACCCAGTTGAGAATATTCAACTGAAGAATGTCTTCTAATCTTTGCTTCAGAGCAGTTTATTGTTGACAAACAAATCTTCTCTATTTTACAATTTTGAAACTGAGAACATTCTCACTTCTCAAATTTTGTTTGCACAGAAAAATCTTTGCAACAAGCACAGATATTGCTCTTTTAGTTTTAATTAAGTATAATTTGTCACCTTGCAGTTTCAAATTAGTTTCGTTAACTTTTGCAAATAAATCAGTTATATAGGAAATGTCATTTTTTGAGTTAATTTAATTGTATCGAAAATCATTGTCTTTGATTTTCAGGAATTCCAACACTTAATCAAAGAGAGTATAAAATAGATTTAAAAATGCACTTTTAGAAAACCAAGAATTCTATGTCAAGTAGTTAACGATTATAGTTTTCGTCATTTTCCAAACAAATTTGAGAAAATAATCTCTAACTGATGGCATTTCTTTTGATTTCAATCACTGTTTTACTGACATAATCTCGTGATCCATGCAAACGTTCATTAAGAGTTTTTGCGACTAATTAATGCCGATGAATCACACAATGTAGTGAAAATACACTTGGTACATTCGGTTGTTTTAAGTATGCCATAAAATCCCGGCATCTGTTCATACCATTGATGAAGTACCGTCAGTAGCAACAGAAATTATATCACTCAAGTGTATAGCTTTTACATAGAAAAATCTTTTTAATTCAGTAAATAACGTTTCTTACGTATTGGTTTCTAAACATTTAGCAAATAACAATTCTTGGCAAAAATGCTCTTTTACAAATCTTTCATGAAATTGAAGTTAAGCTTCGTTTCCTAGTAAAGTGGAATCGTCAAGCTGTAGAGAAAAAAATTCAGATGTTTTTAAGTACTCACATAAAGAATTTTCTACGCACTGAGCCATTTCTTCAATCCTTCTTTATAATGTAGTTTATTACTCAATGGAATTATTTTTACAATGTTGGAAACTGGCTTGAGCAACATGGTGAATATTACCTCACTTACTGAATGATTTCCTAACCAATCATGTGCAGCTTTTCAGACTTCGCAATCAATAAAGAATCTTTGCCTGCCTAATCAATAAAGTACGCAGTCTATCGTCATCTTGCTTAGATATTGTCCCAATGAGTTATTGCAGTAATGGTGTTTCAAAATATTTTCATAATTTGACTGTTTTATAAAACGTTGAATTTTTATCTTTTTTCGGGATTTTTCTCTTTCTACGGATTTTTATTAAATGCTTCTTAAGATTGAAAGATTTCATTGAATCATTTGACATAGTTTTATTACATAGAAAACACATAGGTAAAATATTATTTCCTGGTGAAGAAATGAATCTATATTCAACATTATGTTTCGGCGCACTATTGTTTAAAGGGGCACAAAAGAACTCATTCCTTGTTATTAACTTATGTAGATAGCGCAATTTAGAACTAGTAAATTATAGGCGTTTGTCAGTGGATTTTTTTTTTTTCGTTTGCGAGGAATTATCTGTTTTTTTAATGTTATTTCGTTACAGTTATTATATTGTAGTTTACAAACTTTTAACTAATAATAACTAAGCTTTAGTAACAATATTAAAGCAAGTTATGCATATCACTGTTACTGCAAGTGAATAATTCAGTGGTAATAAGTTTTGTCATTGTTATTCACAAAAGTTATTACATAACACTCAATACTTAAGTAACATACTGTATTTTAAGCATCCACCTATATTTATATTTTACTCAGGACGTAAAAATCACTATTTTATTTATGGCTATTTATTTTAATTTCCATAATAATAAAAATGAATTAATTTTATCATTTTATATTAAATCTTAAGCGAACCCCTTGACGTTGTTCAGGGACCCCAAATCAATTTTAATTTACCACTGAATGATACCGGGGAACCACTGATATAAGTAAAACAACCAAGGATACATTATTGAGTAACGGATTTTGGAAGACAGGACATTTACCTGCTCAGTGGAACAGAGCTGTGTTAATACTTATTCTAAAAAGAATATACAAAACATTTACGTACTTACTGATCAATATCTCTTACCAGTTTTCTCGGAAAGACTATAGAAAAACTTATATTTAACAGATTATATTATAGTATATTGGAGATAAAAACCTGATTGTCGATGAACAGGCTGGTTTTCGGGAAAATCATTGAACAACTGATCAGGTTACCCAAATCAAATTATTAAGAATGCTTCGGACTATCGAAATAACAATCAATGTTGATTTTAAAAGTGTATATCACAAGGCATGTATGAAGAGCAAAAAATAAATAAAAAACCAGTGAATGCCAGGAAAGATTATCTCAGGTGGATACTTTACATACCAACGTATCTGCAAGGTCTGATTCGACTAGGATCCACTAAATTATATAATCTGAAAAATTGTTTAATCTTTGCAAATTATTTAATAATGGGCACAAGCTTCAAAGCAAAACGCAAAATTCTCCATTGAAAATAACATATCTTTGAATTTAAGGAAAATTAATTTCAAATCTTTTAAACATCAATAAATCCTCCTGATCTAAACAATACTACAATACACATAACAATAAACATACTGTCGTTAATAAGTTGAAATAAATAATGCGGACACCTTTTAAATAAAATCAATCAAATGAACTACAAGTTCTAAAGATGAATGACAGCAAATATAAAACTTTTATCTATAATTATTTTATCTATAATTTAGCATCAAAAACGGATTCTGAAAAATATAAACCTAAATTACAACAAAAACTATATCTGGTTGCCAAGCAACCTAAAGTTAAATTTTAAAACAAATAAATCTAAAGAAAATTAAAGGTGGCGGTTCTGTGAAATATACATACGTTATTGACTTAAAATCTTAAACATACTCCCACCTTGCAAAGTGATGTTATAAATAACACTTTGGAACATGCATTTAGCATTTCTTTAAAATACAAACTAACTCATCTATATTAGTCACCTTTATATGAAACTAATTAAGAAAATCTTCAGTCATTATATAAATAACAAAAAGTTCATTAATCTAAACGTTGTGGATTTTTTATGATTCTTCCCAATCTGCCTTTGATGAGAGAATTCACTTCCAAATTATCAGGCACACCAACGGAATTGGGAATATTATCAACTTTCAAGTTAATTTTCCTTGAAGACTTTTTTAAAACATCCACATTATTCTCTGCTGATAGCTCTAAAGGATAAATTCTTTGGAAAGGTCGGATCCTTTCTCCTTGAGAGGTTCTTAATCTGGCTACTCTAGGAATACTGTCCTTTCCAGGATACAGCTCCAAGACAATTCCAAGAGGCCAATCTATGCGTCGAGCATTATCTTGTTCTATTAAAACAATATCATTGATGTTTATTACATCATTCCTTCTTATTCCTTTGTGCACTAGCTGAGCAAGATATTCATTTCTTAATCTTTGTTTGAGATCTTCATGTAATTTTTGCAAAAATTTTACACGTTTCAACATAGAGGTTCGATTCACAAGGTCTAGATCGGGAATTTCGTTGTTGATGTTACCTTCCCCGTACATAAACGTTGCCGGAGTTAAAGGTACTAATTCAGATGGATTATCGTGAATGTAGGTCAACGGTCTGCTATTTATAACCGACTCACAGTCACAAAAAATTGTAGTTAGTTCTTCATAATCTGCAACAGATTTACCTAACACACGACGCAGAAGAGTCTTAAGCATTCCAACTATCCGCTACCACCACCCACCCCACCATGCTGCTGTGGGTGGAATAAATTTCCAAATTATTTTCTAAGCGGTTGAGTACACTGAAATCTTGTCCCAATCTAAATTTTTTAAATAATTGTTTTCTCCTACAAAGTTTCGAGTAAATGACCGATATTCTACCTGTTCTTGCGATAAATCGTCTGAATGCTTGAATGAAAGCATCGGTAGTGAGAGACCGTACTAATTCAAAGTGGACTGCTCGGTACACAGCACAGGTAAACAAAACGATCCAAGCTTTTTCTTTCGATTTTAGATATAGAGGACCGGCATAGTCCACACCAGACACTTGAAAAACTTTTTGTCTCTTTCTCTTGGAAAGGGCGCAAAAGGAACTTCTACTGGTTTAGCTCGATGACGCTTACAAGTCACACACTTGGAAATAACTTTATTTATTAACTTTTTAGCTTTAAGAATCCAGGATCGCTCTCTGAGTCTTGAGAGTAAGATGGAACGACCTGCATGTATCGTTTTTATATGCTCTTCACGGATTAATTCTAACACAAAACTGCTAGCAGGTAAAAGAAATGGACATCTGAAATTCTCATTCTCATCACGACGTACCAGTTCGGTCTTTACTCTCAGAATATTACTTTTATCTCGAAAAGCTTGTATTTTGGCTAGAAATTTATCATCTTGGAAATGCGTTGTTTGCATTGATTTAAAAATCACACTTTCTGCCTTTGTTAACTCCTCACAGATTAAATTTCCCTTTAACTTATCTTGATGTGAAACATTGTGGACAAAACGTAGAATCCAAGCGACAACTCTTACATTTCTGGTATATGTTGAAAAGTAATATATTATACACCATATTTCCGTAACTTCAACATTTACCATGGAAATAACTACTTGTTTTCGTTTTTCCAAATTTACTTCCTCTTCATTAACAGAAATTTCGTCAGCTGCTACAGGCCATTCCGTGTGAGAAAGATATAGCCAGCTGGCACCCTCCCACCATTTCGAATTGTCAAGTAGTTCAGCAGAGCAACCTCTACTTGGTAAGACTGCGGGATTCATAGATCCGGGCAAATGCCGCCATGGTTTTACCGTAGTCCATTTCCTGATTTCTTGAACCCGATTTTCCACAAATACACCCCATGTATTTTCTCTTTTAAACCAAGCTAATACAGCTGTTGAGTCTATCCAGAAATGAACTTTGTCCGTCTGAAACTGTTTTATTATTTCAATACATAGACGAGCTGCTATTGTGGCACCAAGAAGTTTAAGTCCTTCCTTTTCCTTTTTCCCGCTAGGTGCTATTCTTGATTTACTTTGTATCAGGTGAACTTGAACATTGCTTTCATCTTCTATTCTCAAGAAAACTACTGTGGAATACGCAAATTTACTGGCATCACAAAAGAAATGTAATGAAATGCGCTCGCAACCTTTGTCACAATGCAACCACCTTGGGATTTCTATGTGCTTCAGATATTCAAGCTGACTTAGCCACTTTGAAAAATCTTCTCGTGTTTTTGTGTCAACTTCATCGTCCCAATCAATTTTCGCTTTCCACAAATTTTGTAACCACAATTTTGGCCGTAGCGATACCGGGCTAGCTATCCCCATAGGATCAAAAACTCTGTGTGAGGCAGCTAAAATGCTTCCTTTGGTGATTTTTTCAGGTTTTCTGTCTTTCATATCATGGATATTAATTAACGGAGTATCACTTTGTCTAATCCACTTCTTTCCAAGAATGTTGGTCTCACTAGAATTAGGTTCTGATGGGTTAGTAGACTTCCACCTTCGTAAATCAAATTGTCTTTCAGCCATAATATTAGTAGCAACTTCTATGAATTGTTTCAGCTCTGATTCAGTTTTCACGCTTGTGAGGCAATTATCTACATAAAAACTGCATATTAGTTCCTGTATAATCTCTTTAGGGTATTTTTCATTCCCTCCCATTGCTTCTTCTAGTTTATTATTCAAATGGTATTGAATAGTGGCTCCTAGCAAAAACGGACTACAAGAAACGCCAAACACAACTCTTCGATGACGAAAATGTTTCAGCTGTCCATCTTCTCCATACCATAAGAATCGCAAGAAATTTCTATCATTTTCATAAAGACTTATTTGCAAAAAAGCCTTACGTATATCAGCTGTTACACCAAATTTATATCTTCGAAATTTATTTATCATTGAGGGAATTATTTCTATCAAATTTAACCCTTTCTCAACACAATCATTTAAACTAGGAACTTCTTTTCTCTTAGAAGAAGCATTGAACACTGGCCTGATTTTAGTTGTGCTGCTCTCCTTTATCACAGGTCGATGAGGTATCCCCATGTCTCCTTTTGGAACCTTTTCAATTATTTCCTCTTTCTCCCAGTCCTTGAACACTTCTCCATAGGCATCATACAATTTTTCGGTTTTCAACTTGCGTGTTGTCATTTGCAATCTCTTTAACGCCAAATCATAATTATCTGGCAAAGACAAATGTCCATCAAGCCATGGCAGACCAACTATAAAACGGCAATCTCCTTCAACTTTCACTGCATTTAAGAAATGTTCCATTGAGGCTTCTTGCAGTTCCTCTCTAGACTTTTGTTCTGAAGGATCTTTTATTCCTAAGGAATCTAATCTCCACAGCTCCGAAATATCCATTTCTTTTACTAAAAAGGAAGTAACTAACATTGCGTTGCTTGACGGTAAATCATATTCAGGTGCTTTCCCTGTTAAAGTCCATCCCAGTAGTGTCTATATTGCTACTAATCCACTGGCCAAAACTCTTCGTTTTCCAGTTATAAGTTTTCCTATTACGTCAGCTCCGAGCAGAATTTGAACTGGTTGTGACTCATTTCCGACGTATGACAACTTTATATTCATTTCTTCAAGCTCTTTTAACCAGGGTCCCAAACTAACAGGTGTTATAGTATCACAAATAGATGCTCGATCCAAAGCTTCCATGTTACAAGTCAAATTATTCTCTGAATTCCTTAATCTAATTCTATAACACGTGTGTTCAAATTTATCTGATTTATGACCACCAAACAAAAAGTGTATGCGAGTTTCTTTTCTCAAGGGAACATATTCCATCTTTTCAGCCAAATTTTTTAAAATACATGGTCTTTGTGATCCAGAGTCTAAGACTGCTCTCACCACAATTTCTTTTCTATCAGATATCAGCTTTAGTTTCATAGTTTGAAGGAACAGTTTCGGATCGTACGTAATGTTGGACAGGTCTATTTCAGAGCTTTCACTTTTCTGCCCAGATTTATCAGGTTCACGATTTCTTGTAGCTAAAGATTCACACATTAGTACATGTCTTTAACCGCATACGACACATTTTATAAAAGCTTTGCACTTACGAACTGAATGTCCTTGCATTAAACAGACAAAACAACATTGATTTTCTATAATGTTCTCTCTTTCAGCTAAAGTCATATTTCGAGCGAAAAAGCAATCTGAACTTTTATGTTACCCAGAACAAAACACACATCCTTTCTTCAAATCCTTTACATCTGTAGTCAATAGATTTGCTGCGGTTGGAAATCTTCTTGTTGACAAATCTCTCGCTTTCTTCTTAAAAGGCTGGCGTTTTTCATCAGATCCCAAGCCAAAACCTGACATGACCAAATTAATTCTTTCTTCACCTTCCGTTTCTGTCTTCAGAAAAGCCTTGATGTTTGTTATTTGCTCTTTGGCGTCAACAGATGCAGCGCACGAAGAAATTTGTTTCCATGCTTTCAGAAACTCTTCTTGGAAACAAGATTCTACGTAACACCTAACGCTTCTAAAGCTCTAAGATATGACTCGAGTTTGTCATAAAGAGACGTCGTTGATATTTTTTCATGTTTTTGAACGGAAATTATGAGCTTCAACAATTCCCTAACATAAACTTCGACCAAAAGGTCATCCTTGCCAAATCGGGCTTTGAGGCTATCAACTGCTTTGCTATAGTTTGCAGCGGTTGGCGGAAAGCTTTCTACAACTTCTCTAGCTCTAGATCCAACAGTTGTAGCTTGAATCAGGTATTGAAATTTGTTTTCAGGGCAATATCTATATCTTTATGAATTTGTTCAAATTGTCCCCAAAATGGTAGCCAATCTTTTAAATCTCCACTAAATTGCCTAAGTTCTAATTTTGACAAATTAAACTGCCTTCTGGCACTAATAATATTTGGAGGAGACTCACCGGTTCTATGCGATATAGCTTGAAGTCTCGCCAACTCCAGTTCAGGTTTTATTATATTTTCTCTCTCTTCATAATCTCTTTGTCTCTCTTCATATTCTCTTTGTCTCTCTTCATATTCTCTTTGTCTCTCTTCATTTTCTCTTTGTCTCAAGTTTTCTTCATATTCCTCCTTTTGTCGTCGATCATTAACAGTAGCTACCAATACACTTGTTACAAAATCTGGATCAGCTAAATATTCTTTACTTTCAAAATGATTGTTTTCAGATCCGTTACAGTAGCTTTTTGAAGTAATACTTCGCCAATTTCTTGGGCAACAGTAATAAGATCTTCCTTTTTAAATCCTTTTGATGCTAATAACATTTTTCAAATCAGAAGTAACGTATCAATCGTCCTGTCGCGGACGCCACAAAATGTCGCTAAGTTGAAATAAATAATGCGGACGCCTTTTAAATAAAATCAATCAAATGAACTACAAGTTCTACAGATGAATGACAACAATTATAAAACTTTAATCTTTTAATAACAAATAATTTAGCATCAAAAACGGATTCTAAAAATTATAATTCTAAATTACAACAAAAAAGAACAACAACAAAAACTATCTCTGGTTGCCACGCAACCTAAAGTGAAATATTAAAACAAATAAATCTGATGAAAATTAAAGGTGGCGCTTCGGTCAAATATACATACGCTAATGACTTAAAATCTTAAACATACTCCCACCTTGCAAAGTGATATTATAAANTCTACTGCTTTGGTATAGTTTGCAGCTGTTGGAGGAAAGCTTTCTACAACTTCTCTAGCTCTAGATCCAACAGTTGTAGTTTGAATCAGGTATTGAAATTTGTTTTCAGGGCAATATCTACATCTTTATGAATTTGTTCAAATTGTCCCCAAAATGGTAGCCAATCTTTAAAATCTCCACTAAATTGCCTAAGTTCTAATTTTGGCAAATTAAACTGCTTTCTGGCACTAATAATATTTGGAGGAGACTCACCGGTTCTATGCGATGTAGCTTGAAGTCTCGCCAACTCCAGTTCATGTTTTCTTATATTTTCTCTCTCTTCACAATCTCTTTGTCTCTCTTCATATTCTCTTTGCCTCTTCATTTTCTCTTTGTCTCAAGTTTTCTTCATATTCCTCCTTTTGTCGTCGATCATTAACATTAGCTACCAATACACTTGTTACAAAATCTGGATCAGCTAAATATTCTTTACTTTCAAAATGATTGTTTTCAGATCCGATACAGTAGCTTTTTGAAGTAATACTTCGCCAATTTCTTAGGCAACAATAATAAGATCTTCCTTTTTAAATCCTTTTGATGCTAAAAACATTTTTCAAATCAGAAGTAACGTATCAATCGTCCTGCCGCGGACGCCACAAAATGTCGGTAATTAGTTGAAATAAATAATGCGGACGCTTTTAAATAAAATCAATCAAATGAACTACAAGTTCTGTAGATGAATGACAAAAAATATAAAACTTTAATCTTTTAATAACTAATAATTTAGCATCAAAAACGGATTCTGAAAAATATAAACCTCAATTACAACAAAAAAGAATAACAACAAAAACTATATCTGGTTGCCAAGCAACCTAAAGTGAAATTTTAAAACAAATAAATCTAAAGAAAATTAAAGATGGCGGTTCTGTCAAATATAGATACGTTAATGACTTAAATTCTTAAACACATACTATCAAGCTTAATAACTTAAAAGTTAAGTTTGATAATAAATTCAATTATAAATCACAAATTAAATCAATATCAAACCACGTTCAGTAGAGAATAACTGTTCCGAAACGTCTTACTGGATCCCTATAGAAATGTGATAGATCAGATCTTAATATTACTTATAGGACTTTCATCCTAACTTTAATTACCTACTGTAGCGAAAACTAAATAACAGCAAATTATCAAATTCTGAAAAAACTAAACTTTAACACTGTCAATCATTGTAACTTATAACTGGAGCCGTCAAATCAACACCGATGGATGCAATGTCTTTATCAACAAATAATAAAATCATTAAAACTATAATTGAAGAATTAGCTCTGATTTTTAATGAGAAACTAATTATAACAGCAAATTCTCACAATCAACAAAAGATAGAAAGTAAATTTTTTTTTTATTCAATTCGTTTGGGGGGACCTCTGGCATAATTTTGAATTGCCAGCTAACATTGATGCAAGTTGAAACAAGCTTCTGATGTCTAGCTTTTTAATCTAGCAATTCGGATGCCTTAAAGTGTTATGCTCTATATACTAGAGATGAATAATACCTATGAATGGTTGCATAGATACACAGATGGCTCCCTTTATGAAAATCTTCACAGGAGTTTTTTTTCAAAACAATTTCTCCTTTTATGCCTCTGCTGGAAAGTACCAAACAACTTTTGATAGAGAAATAAAGGTTATTTGATCGTCGGATTTTTTGATTCTCAAACCACTGTTCAGGCGATTAGTTCAACTGAGCCGCCGTCATCAAAAGAAATCTCTTGAGTCAGAAACATTTGTTGTCTAATGATGAACGTTTTACATTTCTTCAGACCTGGCCGTTGCGGCATTTTTGGGAAACAAATATGTTGACAACAAAAGAAGTTCTAGACTTCTTAAAATTTGATTTTCACCACATTCACAGGAAGATGTTACTAGATTTAAAAAAAAAACTTCATTGCCTTCAAAAGTATAGAAATAAATTCGAAATAAATTTCGACATGTTTCAAGCTCTCAAAAACAGGCATCCATTTTCAAGATTTGACGAAGGGTTTGCTTTGTGTATAAGGCTAGTTACAGATAAGGTGCAATGTTATACTTGTTTTCACGAGGAATGTGTTGGTCAAAGAAATTAAATATGTTATACATAAAACATCACTTAACCAAAAACCAATCCAACATTAAACCTAATTTTGCTTTTATAATTGATTATATTTTTCATTCAAGTAAAAGCCATAATTGTGCTAACAACAAACTGCCATGTTTCAAAGTAATTTTTTTGACTTATAACGATATTTATTGAACTTGTAACAGATCAGAGAATGCTGTACATATTTAACATTGAAATATCAAGCACTTGTTTTGGACTACTTATTCTCGATTTATTTGTTTCTTAATTTTATCTTAAATTAATCTTTTCTTAAATTTTCTGGGTAGGTAGGTACGATTTAGAGAGCTTGAGGCATGAATTAGGTATCTGGCTTCCTAAATTCTACCACTTGCAGAACTTGTAAAAATAATTCAGTTTTAGTATTAACTACTACTATTGTATTAAATTTTAAACCAACAAATAATTAATATAAGTAGCTGAATAACTATATTCAAAAACTTAATCTTCAACTACTTGTGAATGACAAAAATTAAAATGTGAAAAATGGTATGCTTTAGGCAACCCTCATCTATCAAGCAAATAATAAATATGCATTTCAAATCACAAATTCATGACAGTATAAAATCGACACATTGGAGAGTCGAAG